GTTTATAGTTCTCAGTTTATTCGATACACAAGAGCATGCTCTACGTATGATCAATTTCTTAAACAAGGTAAATTATTAATATACAAGTTGATGAAATAAGAATATCAGCTGCCTCGTTTAAAGTCATCAATTTTTAAGTTATATGTTCGATACATTGACCTTCTCAGGAAAGAGAATTCATCATTGAGTCAAATGCTGACTGACTTTTTTCATCATAATTGTTAATCTATTATTTATACAATGAATAGACGAATTTTTCTGTTATTTCCCGACCATGACAAGGAACACCCGGCGGGTGTGACCGGTCAGCAGGGGATGCTCACTTCTCCACGGCACCTGATCCCACCTCTGATGTTTCGGAGGTCCGTGTTTGCTCTGTTCCTATTTCGTATTATTTTATGGACTTTGGAATTGAATACTGTTCATTTTCTCGATATCCTTTATGTTTCTGATAACCATAAACTTGTAGGGAGGCCTCCAAAATTAGTAATTTTTACCATTTAAATTCATTTCTGAATATTTTTTTTTCAATTCCAGAAACATATCATAGAAGCAAGAAAAGCATCGTAATTTAACTTATATGAATTCAATTCTTTTAGCTCTTACAATGTACATTCAAACCCATATATATCTGTATGCATTCTGCTTTAAAATATATACCTTTAACTACCTTATATAAGGTATAGTATCTTATACTTTTTCCTGTACATAAGAAAAATACCGTACACATCGAGAGCGTTCTTATTATGATGTTTTTAAAAAAAAATCCAAAACGAACGAAAAATTACAACTGAGTAAATAATAGTTCAACCATCACAGATATCTATAAATTTATTTTAAAAATTCCCTTTTCCACACTTTTCAGCCCACAGACACCTGGCATATGGTTGCTGTAACATCCCCTTTCATTTGAGATTTTCGTAGAAACTTACTTTGCAAATACAAAAGAACTCTTAGTCTACATGTCATTACTTCGATATCTAAATCCTAGTACATATCATCCAAAGTTAAGGCCAAAGTAAAAATTTGTAATTTTTGTGTAAAAATGTGTTTAACTCCAAGGTCAAGGTCAAAGGTCAAAATTGATTGTACCCAAAGAAAGGTATAGTCACAAAAAATGCACATGTGATCATGAAATATGAAAGCCATAGTCCCCTCTAAGTCAAAAGTTATGGGCAAGATTAAAGTTTTTGCGGACAAACAGACAAAACGACAGACGGATGGAGAGGTAAAAACTATATACCCCCGAAACTTCGTTTACGGGGGCATAAGTATAATATGTAAACTGACAACTTTTTCATAATGCAACATTTGTTTGCCTTTTTTTCTATTGGTAAAAAACTCCTAAAATTTTCACAAGTAAGTACATGTAGAATGGGGGAAAACGATTCATGTGCAAATTTTTGGTAAGACGAGCATTTTTTTTTATTTCTTTTGCTTAGTTATCTATTTTTGTATGCTACAATCCCCATTTTGATGAGGTTTTGTTGACACTAACAAACAACAAAAGACATTTTAGTGATTTTGATCTAACCACTTTTTATTTGCCCTGTATGATATAAGTCAGAGGCAATTTAATTTAGTACTTATTTTTACAAATTAAATTATCGCTAATTTTATGAAAAGTTTGAAACTTCATTCATAGAAACCAACTATTTTTATTAGATCTAATTTTATAAGGAAGTGCCCTTTTTCGTGCCAGTTTTAAAAGTAGGGATAAAAAAACATTAAAGTTTTGAAAAATAAAACTTTATTTTGATTTTTGCAAAATCTAAATCCAGGGTTAAAATCAAACAGATTTACAATTATGGAAACTTTTTAAAGTTTTTTCTAAACACCAGCTAGAAAATGAACTTTTTAATGTTTAAATTGACAAATGTGAAAACATACTGTATAAAATGTAAGAAGCAAATCTATGAATGCGCATATCTTTGCTCCAATAGCCTTAGAACATTTTAATAGATATTGTTTTACTTTAATGGGGATAAAACGGTTTGTATTATTAGTGTAAGGTATGGTATAGCTTTGACTTCGTTATCTAAGCTTTAAAGCTTTCAGAAATAAATACTTCATATCAAAATGTTGCTTGATATTACTCGTATGCATTCGCCTAACAAGAATACTTCTATACCAAAACGAGTGTTTTAGCATAAAAAAAATGACAAAGGGTCATTATTCTACGGGGTCATTTTTCTACAATGCACACGGAGAAAAACGACCCCAAGGCCATAATTTCTACAGAAAAGTGGGTGATTTTTCTACGTAGAATATTGACCAGGGGGTCAAATTTCTACATAGAAAAATGACCCCCGGTCAATATTCTACGGGGGTCACTTTTCGTCGTTACACCTGCGTCTACTGCGACACGAGACCTTGGTTTATAAGGTCTCATCCAAGGCACCGGTCTCCACATCCCACAGTGGGATTCGAACCCACGACTCCTTCCTTTGCGGTTCCAATGGATGAGAAGAGGTAGAAATGAAGAAATGAATTGTGAAATGAAACAATTCACTGCTTAAACAACATTAATAACTATCAAACTTTTTTCACTTACACTAAACACACATCTCATGAAAATGGACTACAATATAATTCAATACAATTCGATTTTAATTTGGAATGATTACAAGCAATTTAAAGAATACGCTGCATTAGACTGTTTCAAAAACTTTTTTGTTTCGATTCAATCTTAAAATTAATTAGATTTTTTTTCCAATTTATAATATTTCAATTTAAGTAAGCTACCTTTAAGTGTATTATTAAAAAAAAAAAAACCCTGTTTAATTCACAGAATAGAGGTTGCATCTCCCGAGATCCAGCTTTAAAATGTACAATTCTGGCAACACAACCACAGATTCCAGCTTCAACATTACAATATATACCTATTGCTCCTTACGTCACGGACTATTTCGTCAGTGCGGAGAGTTATCAAAAGACGGTGGTTAATGAACCCAAAATATTACATAGTCTGGTGTCCTCTGAAGGTATGTTATGGCATTATCGAATTGATAACATTTTGTCAATAAAATATATTTCAGGATTTATAGTCTTCTACGTTTTAAATGAAAGATAATATCTGGTTTCCTCTAATGGTATGCCATGGCATCATCCAATTGATAACATTTCATCAATGAAAATATAAAATTATTTAGGATTTTGTTTTCGTCCTTTTTAATGTAAAATATGAAGTTTAATTGCAGAACTGAATTAGAATAGCATTTTCTCAAGTTATTAATTAAAGTAATTATTAAAAAAGAAAGAAATTAAGAGAGCATTCTTATCTTTCTTTTAGATAAAACAGAACAAGTGTCAGACTTTGAACTGAAATGTGAAACGCTAACCGATGTAAGATAAGAAGATTTATTACAAAGTACTCGCACTCATATCTACGAAAGCCCAGAAGGCTCATTCGAGATTCAAGTTTCGAAATACGAGATTCAAAATTCGAGATTCGAAATTCGAGTTTCGAGATTCAAGATCCAGATTAACCAATCAAAAGGCTCATTCGAGATTCGAGGTTCGAAATACGAGATTCGAAATTCGAGTTTCGAGATTCAAAATCCAGATTAACCAATCAAATGCGGGTTCAACATTTGATTACTCCCCTTCATTATGTTTTATCTATCAATAAATCGTTTAATATATTTATAACAAATGAGTCATTTGATTAAATTACAATGCAAGAAAGAGTGTTATATATATTAGAAGGAAAGTTAAATAATCATTGGATTTTTGATCAGCAAGATATACTTCAATTTATATTATGACTTCTTAAATATTAAATAGTATACATGTATCTATATATCAGGAATATATATATTTTTGAATTGTCTATTTTATTTAAAGGGTTGTTGACATAATAATTAAGTTAGAAATAGTGTCTAAAGAATAACAAAATCCCAACCCCTACCCGCAACACCTGCCCATTTTTCTGACTCTGAAAATTTAAAACTTGAAAGGCAATGCAGCCTTGATAAATATAAACCGCGTTGGTTTTCCTAATAGATGGAATACATAAAAATATAGCTTTTTTTAATTACTTATCTTCATCTAAGGCTTTGATTTCTTAAATTAATTAACAATTATATATACAATACAGATTGCCAATATGAATGCTGCAATTAAAATGAATGCAGCATTCATTTTATCTTATATCAAACAGTAGATTAGTCTAAATTAGCTGCAGAACTATAGCGTTATGGTTTTATATTTTAGTCTCTGACCATAGCGTTATGGTCAAAGATTAAAATATACTCGTAAGGCTTATAAAGCTACAGTTCGATTCAGCAGTCAAGTCTCACTGCACAAATGTAACCTTTATAAATGTAATGAAATATAAATTCTTGCATTGCTGTACAGTGTAGAGACGATTCATGATATTTCATAACTTATTATATAAATCAATAACAATATTCTCCCTCAGCAATGATCTGATAGAAAAGTCGACCTACTTACACCGCATGTCAACGATAAGACAATATAATATTCTATATATACGTATTTACTGTGTTGTTTAATGAGAAAAATAAGATTATTTATGTATTTTTCAAGATGTAATATAAATTTTATTTTTAGTTCGTTTTAATACATAAAACATTTTTTTTTGCATTATCATTTTAGCAAATGGTCAAATTGTTATAAATATAATCAACGAATTCTTGATAGTAAAAACATAATAAAGGGAAGTAATCAATGTTGAACCCATTTTTGATTGGTTAGTATGGATCTTGAATTTCGAAACTCGAATTTCGAATCTCGAATTTTGAATCTCGTATTTCGAAACTTGAATCTCGAATGAGCCTTCTGGGCTTTCGTACATATCGTTCCGCGTTTGACGAAACAAAAAAATATTTCAGAACTCTCAAAACTATTGGTTTGCAAAGACAGGCAATTTCAGAAACTCATACTTGGCAAACTGAAATGCATTATCTGCAGGCTAGACATCTCTGTTTTACCCTTTGGAGATGTAAAAAGCTGTCTTACGAATTTAACGAAGAGATTCCTTAGAGACACCGTTGAAGAGGATTTGGAAATGTGGTACGAATCGTGTTTACCGATAATAGACATCATCGCAATTTCTATGCTACAGTTTTGTTTTCGAAACAATGAAAAGAAAGACATTGAGAGCATTGTTTGCAGGAGATGCAAGAGAATTGATGAGTTGTATACGAGACTGAGTTCAAAGAGGAAGTTAAAGAAGACTCAACCATGTAATTTCTCTGGATTAAAATGTGTAGCCTTATTTGCCGGGGCTCTTTCCTCTAGCTTTCACTTAAGTAGACATTCTCGTGTCATTTTCGAAAGATGGGAGGACGCTTTTTACTCAAAAGAACATGCTGAACACCTACTACATATAGAAAATCAGTCCTTTAATGAACAATTCATGGTATTGTTCGCTTTTCTCCTAAAGGTAAGACAGACAGCTATCTGAAAGAATTTGGAGAGAAGATACATGTAATTAGAATAAGTAGATACTGATGAATTATGCACAGTATCACCGTTACAATCATTTGATCGGAAGTACATAAACATTACAAAATCTTAAAATAATTGAAGTTCATTTTGCTCCGTCCTCAATATAGACTAAATCAATAATTTTATTGCACATAAGTGTACAAGTTCTATTCTTGAAGGTGTTAAAAACTTTTTCCTGCAATATTTTTTCGCCAAGAGTTGCATTGTTTGATAAAGACATCAATAAATCTTAAAATTTTGTTTTATAATTTTTACAAGGTGTAATATTAGTTGAAAAAGAAGCATTAATTATGTTGATACCGAATGCTGATAGACACCATTATCTGTTTGCTTTAATCATTTCAGCTGAGGAGCAATGCTTCGGTTCATGATCAGTTCTCAAGGTTTGTAAAACAGTTGTTTCTCCAGAGGAAACCCGATAAGAAGTGGTCAGAGGTACAGCACCATGTCTTGGCCGAGATTACCTTACGTGGAATCGGTGCTTTTCTTTGTCATTGTAAGTAGCAACTAAAAGCTAAGCTCGATTCGTAAAGGGAAAAAGTTTTCTGTATCCGTCATAATCCTCCTTCTCCTGTCCCTACATAAGCCTCAACCTTGTTCATGAAAACAATCAAAATCAGACCCAGAGCAAATTGGGACCACTTAAGTCATTAAAGGTTGGATCAGGTCCTCTAGAGAAGGAAACATCCCCTGCTGAACGGTCACACCTGCCATTTGCTCCTTGTCTTTATTAGAAACATGGAAAAATCCGTTGACAAATGAATGTTCAAATGGTCTTACAATAAGTATTTTAAAACGTCAGCCAGCAAATTTTGACTTAGTGATAAATTGAATATGGTGACAAGCTCATTGTTTCGGTCAAGAAACTTGCGAAATGATGACTTTAAACGAAACTGTAGATATTCTTAATTCATTTACTTGCTTGTTATAAACTTATACCCAATATACTGGTGTAAGGATATAATGCTACATATTTATTTATAAAAACCGTCGAAAGAAAAGTAGTTCATTAATTGAGTGTATACTGTTTAACGTCCCTCTCCAGAATATTTCACTGATATGGAGACGTCACCATTGCCGGTGAAGGGCTGCAAATTTGGGCCTATGCTCGGCACTCAGGGCCATTGAGCAGGGAGGGATCTTTATCGTGCCACACCTGCTGTGACACGGGGCCTCGGTTTATACGGTCTCATCCGAAGGACCGCCCCATTTAGTCGCCTTTTACGACAAGCAAGGGGTACTGAGGACCTATTCTAACCCGGATCCCCACGGGGTAAGTTCATTGATAATATACAAGTATTGACTTGGTATGAGTGGGAACATGATTTGTTGGACTCGAAGGGCAAAATTTTCACCTTCAAGTCCAACAAAGCATATGCTGCCCGAATCATTTGTTTTGTTATACCCTTCATCTAATATTTAATCAATGCACTCTGCATTATCAATTAGTTTATATGGAAAAAATTGGCTTCATCAATAAAAATAAAGCAATTTCGTTGAAAGAAAAAAAATTAATAATGAAATTACATCACTAAAATTATTTATCACAAAACATACGCTTCCTGTGTTTCTGTCAGTCTGTGTTTCAACTGTTGGACTGTAAGGTCGGTCAGCAATGAAATTGTTAGACCAATGTAAGAAATATTTCTTTTTTATTAGTAATTAATCTATAGAAAGATATTCTAAAGGGTATAACAATACATTCTAGACATCAAAATGTCTCATAGACCATAGCAAGTGTCTTCTTCTTCTGATGCACAAGTTCTTGAATAAATCCCGCTTCTACTAATTACGCTGAACAACTGTTACCCCATCGGGTTTCCGATAGATCTGAAATTTTAACAACCATCGACGATTCTTAATTCATTCTGACAAAGTCCCAAGTCCACTTTTTCTGTTTATCATGTTTGGCACACCTTCTGGATTAATGATTTAAAATATTTTCATGAAAGAAACCCTAAGTTTAAAGAATGTCGTTCCCTTTTTTGGTCCCTTTAAAATGATTTTAAGTTTTATTTACTGAGGAAATTTGTTATAGACTGACGATGTCCTGTTTTTTCTTTAGCTAAGGCAGAGAAAGAAATCTGCTGGAGAAGGATGGCCGGACACAAGAGTTTCCTTCCTCTCCCACAGGAACTCTCCAGTCATTTCTTCTTGGGTGATAAACAACTTGTCAATGCAATCATCCAATGTCTGAACATCTCCGAGAGATCTTTGCTGGAATTTACTGAAACGTACATTCAAAGTCACGTCAGTGATATAGTCTTCCATCATACAAAAAGGGAAACTTTGCCTAAAAAGAGTGATCACTCATATTGGTCTATTTGTCAAGGGCGCATCAACAAGTACGAGGCAAGCATTGCCATATGCGTTCCAGGCATATCAATGAGTTCTCTTCAGGATACAAAGATGGAATGTAAGATAAGGAACGACATGCTAGAAAATGATTTTAAAATTCTTTTAGGACTACAAAAAGGTGAAACTCATATCAACGTCGTTAGACTACTGGCCTACAGTGACCTAAAGAATTCCCTTCCTTTCTATGTAAAGGAGTACCACAGAACAGAAATATTAGATAAACTTCTAGAAATACGAGGACAAAAAACAAGATTTCCCGTCCTTTGGTTAAATAATCGTTTAATTGAAATGTTGAGCGCCCTCAAATATTTGCACGGCAAAAAAATCATCCATCGTGATATCACACTTCGGTGCTTTCATCTTGCACGATTCTCAGAAACCGAAGAGGATGCAGCCGTTTTGTATGATTTGAATCTTGCACGTTAAATAGACCCCAGCATGACAACGACTTGTGATCAGGTAGCAGGTAAGATGACAGATATGCAGGGAGATGGCATTCCTATTCGTTGGTCGGCTGTTGAGTCAATCCTTTTAGGTTACTATGACGCCAGATCCGATATTAGTATGTTTGGTCACGTGATCCACGAGCTGTTCACGTACGGATGTGAACCATTTACAGATCATTACAGCTCTACTACAGATGATATCATATCAGGGGTATGTATTTTTTTATGTGAAACATGAACAGGAAAACTTGGGTTTAAACAAATTTTCGAACTTTGATGATAAAAATTGCTACATTTCAAACATTATATATATGACTCTGAAAACATCCAAAGACATGTCCCCTCACCGGTGGCACTGTATTCCCTATGACTACCACAAGTTAGCAATCTCTTGTTGGAGGACAGACCCAAAAGACAGGCCATCTGCCGAGGAAATCTTTAAAGATATGTATGCCGTGTTAAATAGTATTTTTGCACAGCTGAAACCGAACAAAAATTTCTGAAGTATGATAAGCTATCAAAAATGAAACATTCTTGCAAATTCGACGAAATTTTGTTTGGTATTAACAAAGTACTGGTCGGGAAAAGAACACGATATTCTCATGCATATTTATAAAGGACTGACGTTTATTCTGGCTCTGCGCATGTGCGCGGGAAAAGCATCGCGGGAATCATCAGGTCGAGGAAAATATTTTTGTGACGTCTGTTCAGTGAGGAACACAAATAGACCAATCAGCCCAATGAGTTGCATTTAGTGCATTATGGGTTACATGAAATACCACATGTGTTTTTCGAAAAGGCTAGTTTTTTTAAAGAATGGGTGGACTTAACTAGTTAGAAAAAATGCCGCAAATTTAAGTTCCATAAAATGTTAATTTTTTTCCATAATATAAGCCCCCCGATATCTTAACTGTGTATTTATGATACGGATGTGAATTTAAAATGCTCTTTTCGAGGTAAACTAAATAAATATCGAAGGCATGGTGCCTGAAGATTTGTTGAATATCAATAGATAATCAGAGTCACGCATTTTTCATCGTCTGAATACATAGTCTGCGCATGTTTGTCGGCTGTTCTTACGAAAACTATAGTTGTATATTGAACATAATAATGTCATATTAAAAGGAGAAGAGCCGACAAAGGTGCGCTCACACTTAATTTAACAAAAAACATGTTCCAAACAAACTTCTCGCTTCCATTGTTACGACTTCGATTGACCTGTTAAATATTACAATTCATCGTGTGATGTCCATCTGCGAGTGTACTCGTGGAAACAGTTACATTGTATTCTTCAACCTGACCTAGAAGTAAATCACTATGTTTGGTGCCGTTTCATTAAATGTTGTTTTAATTTTGCGTGTCCTCACATTTTTTTACAAAAAATCATAATGACATCGCTGTATATATTCCAAACACGTATTCAAATTTCTAGAGAGAGAGATGGAGAGAGAGAAATGTCAACAATGACACCGATCGATAGCCCCGCCTCCTATTAATATTGATAGCGCGACCTAAAAACAACTCCGGGTACATGTAAAATTCCGGAAGACGACACTAATGTATCCTTGTTTCAATTTTGATTCATGGCAATAAGGCATTGCTTTTGTACAAATGTTCTACCTAAAATAACCATGTATACGTCGCTCTTTCTAGTGGTTGTAATATATTTTGGATTCACTTTATTTTCAACTTGTTAGAGTAGTCTCAAAAAGATCCAAAGTAGGGCGTTAAGTCCACCCATTCTTTCTCTCGGAAAGACTTGATGCATTATGTACATTATTATCTACTTATCCTATGCTCATATTTGCATACAAATGATTAACGATGATGAAAGTTTTCCCCGCTCCATTGTACAGGTCCGTTTGTTTAGAGTTTCCCCGTGCTATACTGCTAGTGAAAAGACAATTGCACGTGATTATTCCTCGGTACAAAAAGCAACCAACTCTGAGGTGCGCTCACGTATTGACAATCCCTAACTCGCGTGTTTGTAGTAAGAACGTAGTAGACCATCATGTTTTTCGGTTCATTCACGAGATAGGACCATTGTTTGCTGTGAACATGCGAGACCACATCATGAATATTTCAATAAGAGGCGGCTTTTTATCCGACACGGAGAGAAAATAATTTTTACCAAAGAATATTTCATAACTTTTAAAAGTGATGGAGTGGAATTGTCTTATTTGCAGAAAGTATATAACTTATATAACTTGATGAGACTCCACATATATTTATTTCTTTTAAAATAAAACACTAATACGGCATATATATCTTTAAAGAGCTCAGGAGGTTAAGGGATAATCGAGCAGTGGGTATGTTTCGTACACAAAAAGACTTTTTCTGATTTTAGTATATTGAGCAAAGAGATTTAATTACTAGTTATTAGTAAAATTAATTGTTTTCATTAGAATTGGGTAGCCAGTACAGTCAATGCTGGCTGACGATTTTCATACCATTGCTCGATCATTATTTACACATTGAAGTGTCTATGGATTTTTTGTTTGTCTGATCATGACAAGGACGGCTGTGACCATTCGGCAGGGGATGCTTTCTCCTCCGTGACAGCTGATTCTTACTTTTCCACATTTTGAAGGTCCCTGTTTAAACTGCTCCAGATTTGTATTGTGCAATGGACGTTGAGCATGAATCCTATCCTGTTTATTATCTTCATTTTTCATATTGATAATTTAGAGCCACTTGGGGTTATTCATCATCATTCATGACCTTCGGAGAACCTACAGGGACCTCTGACATCAAAGGTGGATCAGAAGAAATGCACAAATAAGCATCCCCTGCCAACCGTGTGTCCCGTTCATTTTTTCATCATTTATCTTTTTTTCAAATCCAGTTTCAATGGGAAATATCAAATCCCATAAATAAGTTGCGTTCTTGTTTTTATATAAAGATACAGGTACTTTTTGGACTTTTTTTTTATCTGCATGAATTTTAAAATACTTTTTTGCTATGAACACAACATAAATGTTTCGTAATATAAAACAAGAAGAAATTTTTTGATAGTTGAAATTTATGTTTTTCTTTGACCTATTCTTTTCAACTGGGGAACGGGGAAAGGGGAAAGTAAAATATCATTTTATCTATTCGAACTATTTTATTGTATGAGACATATTTTAGAGATATTTTTATTGAATAATGATAAAAATGGGAAAGATTTCTGTTGAAGCAAAGGAAGGAATTTCCTAACCCCCCCCCCTCATCTAAGTGAGCATCAAAAGGAACGAGGTCATGAACCATGAAAGGGTACGTTAACGACTATTTTAATTTCAGCTCGATGCTTTACTTAAAAAATAAACTTCTTTCACATATAAAGTTATATATGAAATATAAATATAAATATAAATATAACGAACGGTATTCAAGCTCAAAAGTCCATAAATCAATACAAAATAGCCGCAGAGCAAACATGGACCTCTAAAACATCGGAGGTGGGATCAGGTGCCATGAAGGAGTGAGCATCCTCTGTGACCGGTCACACCCGCCGTGTGCTCCTTGTCATTATTTGGAAATAACGGAAACAAATCCATCGTCAATTCAGTGCGTATATAATGGACTAACAACTGGTATGAAAAACGTCAGTTAGCATTTGACTCAATAATAAATTGTATTTGCTGAGAACGTCATTTATCGACCATAGAACTTACGAAATGATCACTTGCTGATTTTCTTGTTTCAGCAACTTGTTTGTCAATAATTAACATCGTTTTAGAACTTGTTCATCCGTAGAACATGTTCTTGGGTAACGAATCAACTGAGAGATATAAACTCCTTTTGAGAGTGATGAAGGTATACTGCTGCATAAGTATGACAAGTTGACAGTTGAGAAGTTTGTCATCACTTTTATCGCAGAACTTGGTTGTTAGATAACCATTAACGTCTTTTTCAAGTAAAATATCCAAATATGAAACAGAAGAGTCAGAATCTGTGGTATCTTTTAGCTCAACGGGATATGTCGTAGCGACATAAGAATGGAAACCATTGTTAATTCACAATACGTCGTCGATATATAAAATCTAAATGTTGAGTTAAAGGCCACAGCAAGTGTTTTCTTCATTTCACTTATCAGATTTTGGACAAAGTCTGCTTCATATGAAAACAAAAACAACGGGTTGCAATTGGTACCCAAAGAATTCCAACAGATTGTTTGACGACCTGGTCTCCACATTGATATTGTCAATCAGAAACTCTGTCAACTTCAGACTACTTGTGAGTACAATCAGATTGACTTTTTAACAAAATAATTTTGCAAATGACCAATGATAAGGTAAATAAATTTACGAGTTCCATTTTTATTGAAAAAAAAGCAGCTGTCAACGATATAAAAAGGCATATAAACAAACCATAACGAATATTTCCCCCCTTTCACGCGCGAAGACACTTGTATTTTCTCTATTTGTTTATAACATATGCATTGTCACGATTTTTTAAAACATTATACACAGTAAAATCAGTATGGTATAGTGTGAGGCTTCTGTACATGACACATACCCATCCAATCACAGGTGCAAAGCCTTGTGTTCGCAGAATCCTGCAATAACTGCTTTCCCTTTATGATAATACGCATGACATTCTGTACTGTATATGTCTCTTTGCTTTTTGAACACGTTCAATTAAAATATATTTTAAAGAGTTTTATCTAAGATGGAATTTCCAATCTAAATTTAGATTTAAAATCCTTATACACTTGTATAAACACTACGTCTTGTCTGGTCAGATAAAATATAATAAAGGGACATGTAGAACCTCCACACGTAAGTTAAATTGTATTAAACGTCGAATAGTTTCATATATTTTTGTGAAAAAAATAGTCTTAGAAAGTTTTTTATTAATATTTATTTTTTAAAAATGGATATGTTCATTATGCTCTATAGTGTTAAGTCAAAAACTGGAACTAGGAAGTGGGCTTAGTATTAATATTTATTTTATTTTATTTTTTTTTTTCAAAAAAAGCTTTTTATCATGATTATGCTAGCTTTAATTTATACATGAATATTTCACAAGTAAAGTGTGACTATCTATATAAAGACGACCTAACAATCTGAATGTGGACACATCATGATCATTTAAGTTAAATTACATGGAAAAACAAAAACAGATACAAAATGTTTTGCATTGTAGTATATAGTCTAATTGTGCATGTGCCAAATTAGATTGAAATCAAACTAAAACTGTAGCAATGCAAAAAATATTTTGCTTGCAAGCTAAGGGCCTGTTCTCGCCTTAAAGAATGTAAATGGGTTGTTTCGATAGAATAGTACCAGAAATACGATAGTGTGATTATTTTAATATTACAAAATTAAAATTACCATAATTTCATTTAAAAAAAAGAACTGATTGATATGCTGTTTGGCGAAATAGAAACTTTTAGCTTGGGATCATTACAAAATGCGTGTTATTTAAATCACTTTTCAAAATTCTAGAAATCGGCAACCAATGTAACCTCTGCATGCCATATTTTAAATTACTACATTGTAGACACTTGGCGTAATATCTAAATTGATTACTTTAAAATTGAGGTATTCTAAAAGGTAAAAATAACACTCTTATAAATCCAGTTAACAAAACTAATCCCCCACAGGACAAAAACAGACAACTGAAAAACCATGGTTGAATCAGGTAACATGCAGGGGTAAGCATCCTCTGTTGTCCGGTCTTTGAGTCTTATGTGTTGTTAACTTTGTATATAAATGCTATTATCTGACAAATGGAATAGAAAAACGATGCAAGCATATGTTGTACTTACATAAAAAGTGATTATAAAGATCCTATAGAATTTGCAATAAACCCTTTACGTAAAACGCCTCAAAGATGTTAGCTGCAGTGGTGTAGCCTTCTCCAATATTCGTATACAAGAACAAATTGAGAGGTCAACATTAATGTAGTTAGTGAACTATATAGAATATAAAAAACAGACAATAAAGCAAAATATATGGAAATAATGAAAAGTATTCAAGGTCAAAAACCCATTTAACATTGAAGCTGAGCAAACACGACCTCAAAAACATCAGAGGTGGGATCGTGTACCATGGAGGAATGAGCTTCCCCTGCTGGCCGGTCACACCTGCTGTGTGCTCCTTGTCGTGATAGGGAAATAACGGAAAAACACGTCTGCAATTTAATGTGACTATAATGACCTAACAATAAGTATGAAAAACGTCAGTCAGCATTTGACGTAATGATAAATAGTATTTGCTGACAAGGTCATTTATCAACCATACAACTTACGACTGATGAGTTGAAAGAGGCTGCTGATATTCTTGTTTCAGTAACTTGTTTGTCAGTTATTCACCCCATTTTAGAAATTGATCATACGAATAGCATGCTCTTGCGTATCAAATCAGTTGAGAGAAATAAACACATAAACACTGTATGCAGATGCTAAATGTATATTGCTGCATGCGTATGAGAAGTTGATGATTAAAAAATTAAAGTTATAAAGATTGGTTGTTAGATTATCATTAACTTCTTCAAGTAAAATAAAGTAACTAACTATGAAACGGATGTGTCAGACTCTGTGGTCATTTTTATTTCAAGCTCACCGGGATATAGTATCGACATAAGAATGGAAATGACTATTGTTACAAATGTAATTGACGATAAATATTTTTCAATCGGTCCAACAGTTCAAAGAGATTCTGGTAGATTCAATCAATTATTACAGCCTAACACTTAAACTCTAGATAGTTATATGGTAAAGTGTAAATATTTGAAAAAAGTATATAGTTTTAGTATTCTGAGTTTATCTGACATGTATATTAGTATTATTGTCTACTAAATAATTTTGATATTATTATTTCCAGGAACTTATTTAATTTAACTTATTTATATTTCAGCAGTTTTATACTTATTTAAGGTATATTATACTTTAGAAGCTTTAGAATTATTTAGAAATTAATTAAGAATTATCAAATATAAGTTTCCCTTATACATGTACATAATTATAGTTATAAACTTTAAGAAGTCAGTGACCTATGAAGTGACTCGACAATGAGATTTCATTTGTCGAGATTTGGATGGAAATCTCTTTGTGGGTAGTGTTATTTTGGGGTAGAACTGTATGGTCATACAGGTCTTTGTGTCCATTAGGACAGGGTGTACTTTGGTGACTCCAGAGTTAATTTCATTGAGGGTGCATGTAATTCAAGGATTTCAGGACTGACACAGTCACATGTATTGGCTAGTTTTTAATATTAGGCATCCAGAACTTTTGACCATATTGAAGGGTCTACTACAACTCTACTTTATTCTACTTCTGCTATTGTTTAATAAAATTAACTAAACCAAGCAGCGATGTAGTTTTCATTCCAAGAACCATATTACATTTATTATGTAAAGAACATATGTTTGTATATTTATGTTTTTTTTTCTCTTTTTTCTTTCTATGCAGACATGTAGAAATTGACAATTGTAGTCATTTATGGTGAGAACCTCGTAATTGTTACAACTTGTTTTCAAACCATTTGTATATTATCTAAACAATAAAATATGTTCAAACCAAACCAATTGACAATACGTTGTCGATGTATTTAAACGTCGCGTTGAAGGCAACACCAAGTGTTTTCTTCTTTTCACATTTGAATTAAGATTTTGGACAAAGTCTACTTTAAATGAATACGAAAATAGGTCTGCTTTAAACGGGGCGCCATTGGTACCCATGGAAATTCCAATAGATTATTGGAGGAGCTGGTCTCCAAATAACACATAGATATAAGTATCGTCAATTAGTAACTCAAGCATCTTTTTAATATCAACCTAAGAGAATTTGTGCGCACAATCAGAATGTTTTTAATAAAAATAATTGTGCAAATGACCAATGACAAATTAAATTAATTTACGAGTTTCATTTTTATTAAAAAAGCAGCTGTCAATGATATAAAAATGCCCGTACTTTGATTTATGGTGGGGAATGGTTGCATATAAAGTTGAAAAGACGTAAGTTTTCATGCTGTTGTTTATGTTATCAAAAAATTTCCCAAAAGTTCCTTGAAATTTTCGAGTATCAGTATCTGATTTATACCACTTCTCGAATACATTGTGACACAGTACTCCAGTAGTTTGCTGGAGGTTTGTATAAACTATTGTACCTACGACAGATTAATATCAGGCGTCATTCATGAGCCGGGCTCAGTTTTAGATTCTTAACAGTTGCATTTGAATGGAGAAGTATGCAAATAAAATGTCTGTTTAGTTATTTTCTTTACTTAGAAATTGTTTTTGGATTTGCGGTCACGTCGCTTAAAATGATGACCCAGATTAAGAGTGTCTGGATAACCTGATGAAAGGTTTATCTAATGTTATCTAAATGTTTATGAATTTCAAATACAGGTACAATGAAGTGGTAAAATTTCCGTTCGAATGGAACGTTTTGAGCTATCTTTAGAACGTTTATTGTCTTATGACACGCCCATTTCTTTAGAAATGGATAAAACAATCAATTTGTTTATTCGAATACCTGTAGAACAGGCTTTCCATAAATATAGTAGCCAATCAAAATGACAGTCTAAATAAACACCAAGTAAACGCATGTTCGACCAAAACATGTGTTGTGGTAACTTCAATAGACATGATAACTTCAAAAATATGTTCATATTTGTTGCAATTTAGGTTTTAGAGCAAAGGGAGTTGTGGTACACAATTGCACAGCAAAAGCTCAAAGGCTTCTCGCGCAGAAACAGAAGTGTTCAAACAAGAATTTACGAATTTATGACCTTAATCTTTGACCTCTTTGATCATAATGGGTATTTCTTAGGTTAAAAAGAGGAGTAATGTAAAATAAATCATTACAAAAGCTCCAAAGCTTCTCGAGATATCATGCAGAAACGAAAGTGTTCCAATCAGGCAGATATACAGACAGACGGACGGACAGAAGACTGAAATTAACATTCCCCACTTTCAGTAAAAGCCGGGGAAATGCAGAGATGGTAGTGGAAGGCCGGGTTACGTAATCTAGGTACACATACTAGTATTTGAATAAATTGTTAATTTTCTTTATTGTAGATAACTTAAAGAAAGAATTATGGCTGAAAACAAAGACTACGACTACGTGTACGAGTATCCTGAGATAGAAGATCCGTTTGTCAGTGTAGAGACTTGCAAAGAAAGGGACAAACCAGAACCACAGATATTACAAAGTCTTATCTCCCAGGAAAATGGTGATGTAACTAACTATATAACATGCAATATTCTAGAATATTAGTATTTAGCCAACAACAAGTTTAATTCATAGCCATTTAAATGCAAATGACAGTTTTTTCCCCAATTTCTTTATCACACTTAACCAGCATACATTTTGTAGGAAACATCAAAGATTTGACTGCCGATGGGTTTATTTCATTTCTGGAAAACAATAAGGGGGCAGCAGAAAAAGACTCCCTGAGATTTGCAGAGAAACAATTAGTGCCAAAACTTCTAAATTCCAAAGACATTACATCGCTTTCAAAGCTGCTTTCTATTGACGAAAGTAAATTTCAGAATTGTGTTTTGAGATCTCTTCAAAAATTATTAATGGAGACAGATCTTAATGAATCTTCTGTGGAAGTCATTCAGGTCTGTCTTAAAAGCGTTGCACAACTTTTACAAAATTCCCAAGAGGAAGATTCTCTCCAAACGATTGTTATGACAGTTCCAACTGTGCTTCGAAGTTGTGCGATAGCTGTAATGCTCCAATGCTGCTACAGAAAGGTAAAGAAAACGGTGTTTAACAACATTAGTAAGAGTTGTGAATCAATAGAAAAAGTATGGAAAACTGCGATTTCTAGAAAAGGGATAAAAAAGGAGGAACATTCAGATTACCAGTCGATTCAGGGAGGTTTGGCTTTGGCTGCAACCATGGGGAGGTTTAAGTATGGGACACATTTAAAAGATGTGTTTCAAAGTTTGGACGATTCTTTTACATCCTCGGAGCATGATATGTCTCTCGGGAAGATAGGAAGTAGTGGGACTGTTGCCGAGCAATATGTTGTTATTCTTGGAATCTTAACAAAGGTAGAGAGAAGGTTTGAACATTAATTATAATTCAATTGTCAAAGGTAGCTTACTGACAATTACTTATTTGATTGGCCTTTTTTTGTAGATGACAGGCAATCCACGACAAATGTGTGAGAGGTTCATTAGTTTTTTGCATCCAATACTTCATCAAAAAATCAGTGAAAAGAGAAGGACAGATCCTGAATTCAAGCAACTTGGAAGTCTTATTATTTGTGGCATAGCATTTATAGCACGAAAATGTATGTATACTGTTTGTCAAGTAATTATTCATACCTTAAATGACTGAATGAGCCAGCCCTACAATAATCAAGTGTAATGTAGGCTTATATCAATATCACAAACTGTAATAATTCTATTTTGTTGCAGTTTCTCAGGTAGAAACGAAGAGTTTTCACAATATCATTGATGTTTTTGCACGTGACCAACAACTTATCCCCGAAGAAATGTCTGACCTTCTGTTGTCCGTAAACGCTAAAGTAGCACAACCATTTATCTCTAGCTTGAATCTCTCCGAGGGAACGATGATTCAGCTAGCCGAGTCCTATATTGCAAGAGCAATTCCAGGGTTAGTCGTTCATAACCAAGATCGAAAAAATCTTCCAAAACTGTCAGATCAATCTCATTGGATGGTATCCGGAGGTCGCTTGTTTAAAAACTTTGTGCGTATTGCAATAAAAGTACCAGGAATATCGGGTATTCAAATTCAGAATTGTAAGAATTCGATCGAAAGTAACCAATTAGTGAATGAATTTGATGTATTGAGGAAAATACACGGAGGCAAAACTGCGAATATTGTGAAATTGTGGGCCTTCAACCCTCATCCAAGTCCATTGCCGTTTTACGTCATTGAAAGTTTTCAGAAATCATTTCTTGATGAACTTCTGCATGCAAGAAATCATCAAAATTCCCTCTCAGAGAATTGGATGAACGACCGACTTTTGGATATTGGAGGTGCCATCAATTTTCTTCATCAGAAGAAAATAATACACAGGGATATTACCATTAACTCTTTTGCAATAAGGGAATACCCATCTCATGGACACGAAAGAGCTGTCCTCTGTAATCTTCAGATGGCCTGCTCTAACGACGACGAAGCATCAGCCAAAACGGGACATATAGCGGGTCGGTTATAATTGTTTCGTGGTCCTTTTTTCGGTCAGCAGATTTTTTTCTCAGTGATAAAAAAAAAATAATATTGTCCTAAACCAAGAAAGGTAATTAAGGGGTGTATATTGAGATAAATTAAGTCATTTATTTCATCAGATATTCACGGAGAGAACATTCCCACTAGATGGTCAGCCCCAGAATCACTTTGGGAAGATAAATACGATGTTTTTACTGATATTTGGATGATTGGTCACTTGATCCACTCACTGTTCACTTACGGTTGTGAGCCATATACAGAGTTGTACAGTGAGACAACAGATGACATTATGGCGAAAGTCGTCTCCTGTGGACTGAAACCTTATAAATGGCCATGTGTTCCTCTTCCTTACCACAAACTTGCCTCCGACTGCCTGCACTTTGACAGAGGAAAAAGAATAAATTTTGATATAATGCGTCAAAGGTTAAAAGAAATAAGAAAAGAACAAGGACATTCACGAAAGTCTTGTAAGTGCTTTTTAAAAATTTCACTGCCATTTTAAAACATTATACATATACTGGATGAAGAAATCTCTTTGCGAAAAATAAATTGTAATTCTTGTTTTCCAATATTCTTTCAACGGTTTGTTTGATTCCGATAAGAAATAGTCATTTTGAAATCCTTCTACTTCTACAAAACCTGGTACATATGAGATTTCACCAAGAAACAAAGTTCTTTACAAAAGGTTGGGATTTCGAGAAATGGCTTTCTATGGTAATTGATCCTTTTAACAATGAAATATGGCCTGCTATTAAAGAAGAAGTATTGGTTCTTCTTGCCTCTTACTAGATGAGGGTAATTCTCACCAGAAACATTATTATTTTGTGTTCTTTGCAGATTATGAGCATGAGTTGCCCAAGATTTCAGATCGGCAAATTGAAAGAAAACATAAACCGGAGCAGGTAAGAGAGAGAGAGAGAGAGAGAGAGAGAGAGAGAGAGAGAGAGAGAGAGAGAGAGAGAGAGAGAGAGAGAGAGAGAGAGATATTCTAAGTGAAGATTTTTGGTATGATATTTCATCTATACCGGAAATACACAAAGAACATTTCTTCTTCTATGTAGGGTATTCCACAGATGGTGAAGATAATGAAAGAATTGACGGAAAGTAAGATGAATTATGTTTATGAAATAAAAACAAAATTATTCCTGTATAGTATAAACTAAATTTTATAAATCTAATGTAGATGGAGATAAGAGACAAAGCTACTTTGAAATAAAAAGGTGGGTTCCAAAAAGTCCTAATCCCGACTACGCACCTCTTGTCATGACTTTGAGTAAGGATGACCTTCTCTCTCCAGATGAACCAAAACTTAGCATAAAGGTAAGAGTTAATGCATATCGCGCTCGAAATGTTCGGTTATAAATTCTTATTTTAAATATATGAGCAACTTCTCAAGAAGATATGGATTGTTTCTTACAATGTATGAATATATTTTGTAGGCCTTTCAACTAATTTTTCAAGTTGCACATATGGTGAAAAACATTGTATAGATAGATATAGGTATATAAAATAATCAAAAAAGATAATAACTTATGCATACTTTTAATTACCTCATTAAAAAGTTTAATCATTTATAACTGACTTTTCCGATGTTGTGTTTAAGGACAGGTAACTCAGGTGTGAAAAATGACCAACTTAGTGCCGCTTTATGAGTTATCGTTTATAGGAATGACATATAGCCTGCTTCAGCATTGGTATTGTTATATACACAAAAGGGTTCCTTACATTGTTTTGTACACAAAAAGTTTTGACTAAGAGAAAGAGAATGCCTTGACTCTACCTGAAATAACAGGGTCAAATGAATGGGGAACAGACTATATTCAATAGTTTTAACGATTATTATGAATAAGAAAATTTAATGTCATGTTTTTTGTGTTCGCGCTTTTTCGCTTCCTGTGTAAATATATATATTCTTACGAGTAAATGCAACAATTGATCATCTTATTTGTGTTACTAAGCACGAAGGGGAACGACCGAGTATAAAAATTTTAATAGGTTAGAACTGAGAAGGAGGGTAGATTTCACTTTTTATTTTAATTAAAAATTTTAATTATATGCTGTAAGCCGGTGTCCGCAACTATACAGTAAATAAGTTTAACATTGGTGCTAAATTTTAAAACCACTGGATTCTACTGAGAGCAAAGAAACACTTGGGAAATGCTAAAAACTGCCTTGCGTGTAAACAGTTAGATACCCCGAGCCTGCTCTAAACAAGTTTCAGCAGTGAGTTATCGTTCATAACACCGACCCCTAGCGGCAGTTGAAAGGCCTATATTTTGAGTACTTACTAACATATGAGTACATGTGCATATAGAGCTATGTATTATGGGTTAGGGTTAGGAAAAAACTGTTATTCTAATTCTTAGCACAAAATATCAAATTAGTTAAAGTATTTTTTAATAAAAAATAGAAATATTGATTTTTTTTTTCAAAATCACCATATTCTTTTATTCAAGAACAATCATTTTTAAAATTAACCTTTTGATCATATTGATCATTTTATTTTATAAAATATATAATAGAAACGAATAGTTGTAGTTTTTCTTAGAATGAAAATATGCTGCAATTGTAGAGACTTGAACTTGAAGTAGAGGAAAAAGTAACTGTCGACTTTCATGACAAAGTATTCCCCAAAATGAGCCCAGATTTTGGAGAGAAAATGTGCATAAAATGGCCACCAGTGAAGCATTCTTTTACCACTCAGGAAGTAAAAGTAATATTGGTAAGAAATTTAGCTTTATTTAAGGAGTTTTTTGCAAGGTCTCGAAGCAAAAAAAGTATTTTTTTTTAATTTACAACCTACCAAATTGTTCGTATAGAAATGCAGGTTCCCAGCAGCTAAGAACATCATAGATTTAGTTCCATTATACGTCAACAACGCACAGGGAGAGGAAAATTATCGCCTCCGTATTGTACATCAAGTTGCGTGTCTGGTGAAAAGGATGCACGAAAAACGCTGGCTATTGGTCGATATAACTGGAAAGAGCATTTATATCCAGGAGGAAAACGATTATAAGGTAATTTTGACTAAGAGAATCTGTCATGAAGACCCTACACGTTACATAAATCTTTACACTTTAGACGAGACAGAAACTTTTGAAAGGAATAAAGAATATGATTTTAGGAATTGAACTTTTGCTAAATATGTCATGATAATATAAGTTGCTATTTGCAAAGAGAGGGTTTATTCGGAAAAGTTTGGCATTAGGTCATCCGAGACGACCATTTCCAATTTTCACGGACTTTATCTTTTTATGTAAACGTTGAACAATGATGAAATGCCAAAAAGTAGAGAATAACGCGATTATTTGTTTATTTCTTTATTTGATTTTGAGAAAGTTTTTAAATAATATTTTAGGCTTGTCAAATACGAATAGGACGGATGTTGAGACTACCATCTGGAGAAGATAGCATAAAGTGTGCTAGAAAACTAGAAGATATTATATACTGGTCTGTATAAAGTTCTACTTTACTGCTATATTTCACATCTATTACAATAATATGCCCATTAAAACTACTGTATTTTATTTTTGAATAAAATTGATACTAAATAATATAAACCTTTTATTTTTATTGTAAAATACCAAAAAGTAATAAGTCACATTTACGCCAAAACACTCCTTCTCTTCGAGAAATTATTGAAAGAAATATTTATAGTTTTATGGACTTTTGATCTTATCTCCGTATGTTTCATTTTCCTATAAATTATTGAGAGTAAAACATGACCCTAATACTGCCTATGATGCTCTAGAATGTTTTCAAAATACATGTTAAATCATACAGTTAGTAAGATATGACGTCTCACGGTCATGAACTTATAAAAAAAACGCCACATGGAGCATTGTACACATAATATTTGTAACCGTGTTTTGTGAGAATTTTAGAGACACGTGAAATAAATTCCATACTAAGCTATAATATGCATAATAATACATCAATTGACTATTTTGAAATTTACTACACACATTTTTGAATACTGTGAACTTACTTAATCTGTGGGGTTTCAATTTCTGTTGTTTTCGAGGAAAATTGTCCCACGAATTCATGACCACCACGAAATGTAAAATTTCATATGCATTACTACATAACGACAACTAACAGCGAAATAAAACCCCTATAAACCTCGAAAATTTGACCCCACAAAAATGCTATTTAACAGTATGCTAGAGTGGAAAAGCAGCATGTTCATGTTTGTTATGTTCTACCACAATTTATGTCTGCACAATCTTTTTCAAATACGTCTGCAATTAACAAATATTAGGCTTCCAAAGGAGGTGATTGGACACGGTGAAATTTCTACAGGAAGTGACGTTTATACAATGGCCATGCTGTTTTACGAGTTTTACATGGCGGTCTCTGGAAATGATCAGCTACAATCTGTACCCTTTTCCTACAAACACAGATCTCAAGTACATTTTCACTGATATTCATTAAAATATAATTATTGAAAAAATACGAATAATTCGATTATAATTGAATTAGTAATTGTTTAATAAAGGGTGATTTAAAAGTTTCGACAGTACTTATGCAATTAAAACATTCACACTGATAATTTTATAATATCATGTACATTATATGGTCTTTGTTTTTCATGGTTAAGCGTTTAATGAAATTAATTGTTTATCGAAGTTTTACACTAAATTCATTTTAAATGCGCAGGTTTTCAATTATAATTTCATGATTGAATATTTTTGCACAATCGTAAGTGGACAAACTACGTGTATTTCTCAATATGAGAAAAGCATGTAATTAATGCCATTGTTTCTTTTTTTGTAAGACTCTTTTTTTTATATAAATTTCTATTTCTTTTATAAACGTAGATATTAAGTCATTTAAATGACGGTCATGTTCCTGATCGTCCACCTGCCTGTCCGGAATGGTTGTACGAGGAAGTGATGAAGCCATGCTGGGACCAGGACAGAACCAGTCGACCGGCAGCCGCAGATATAGAGAGCATCATAGCAAGAAAGTAAGATCATTGATATTTAAAATTAACTTCAAAAATCACGATCAATTCAGTGATTTAAAGCCACAAGGTATCCAATGCCTTGTTAAAGTGCAAGCACAATCTTAGACTTTAGCTTAGACTTGGACTTTAAAGTACTGCTTGTAATTTTGACATGTACTTAAGGAAACTCTCATATAATATCATCGAGAATCACTATAATATAAAACATTACAGGATTTCAGAAATCTATGAAATAAAGAAAGACACAGAGGTCGATACGTATGACAGTTTTGAAAGCATGGCCCAGAAATTAGCTTACCAAGACGCGATCTCAGAAAATACTATGGAAAAGGACAATAGAGCCAGTGAGGGTGAAAGTGACGAAGATTACGTTTATGTACAGACACACCAATCTACAGATTTATGTAGTGGGGAAACCTCATCAGAGAACAATGTAAACACCTATTATAATGATAAAAAAATCTCCAGAAGAAAATTGTCTCTAGATGCCAATGCATTAAATGGAACCCAACTTTCATCAGGAAAAGATTCTTTAAAATTAAAGCAAAAGTGGGGAACTCAGAAACCCCCAGAAAGAGATAATTTTGAGTGTGCTCATACACGCATTGGTCAGTCTTCTGGGAATTTAGAAGACGTTCCAAATTATGAACTGTTTTCTCAATCAGGAGAGTTTGATGCCGGAACCGAAGAAAAATACACTTATAGCAAAACCCCAAATTACGAAAATGCAACCATCCTTTCCTCGACAATGAATATAATGAACCCACAACCATTCCGAAGTGATTTGACACCTAATATGGATTTACCAGTTCCCCATGTACACAAAGAAAACCCAATATTCCAAACAGATTCCTCTATCCATCCATGTGCAAATGACAATCCCTTTGGTGAAGTAGACTGTGAGTCACAAATTTCAGCAGCAGCAAGCACCTATACACAAGAGGAAAACAACGTTTATGCGAATCAATGATACAAAGCTGATGAACTTTATTACCAAAAACCTTAATGTCCATAAATACTGAGTATTTGAGTGCTTCTAGGTGAGAAGTGCTTTACACATTGTTTTGATTCCATATATTAATATGGTTTTTGAAATTGTCGCAATGCCGTTTTCTTAATATTGTTAATTTTTTCTTCAAAGTCAAACTAGATCTGATGTTTTTTAAGGATGTTTTTTTTTTGCAATTTCGGAATAATTTTTTCCATAAATCATTTTAGATATTTCTATTTCTTGAATCTCATACAAGATCTAAGGTTTTAATTTTTGCAATGTCGGAATAATTTTCCGCAATTTTTTCTCAATTTTCTCAAGGTGGACAGCTAATCTTGTTTGTTAGGTATACTCAACAATAGCTTTATAAAAGTATACTCGAAGTACATTATACCGTGCCAGCGTACATAAAAGTTAATTATACAATACCATTATAATTACAAATAGTTTTACCCATTATAATTTCCAGTAAATGATTGTCTTCCAGTTCTTTAGATAGAAAAAAAATCACTTTGCATATTATATACTGTAGAGGGAACATGTCATAAAAATATTTTAAATTTCCATTCTCAAATAATCTCGATTTCTATTTCCCAGTAAGGATTTTCTTCTATTTGAATACAGCAGCAATATTGGTGAGATACTACCGACTTTGAATTTTATGATTTGATTTTTTCATTGCTTGATTAACATTATACATATCTATTTTGATTATTATTCTTTAATAAATTGTTTATTAAACATTTTATTAGCTACAAGTACTTAGTTTATATTATTGTCTTTATTTAATCTGAAATAATTGTAATGTTTTGAGAATCTTCTGATATTTGTGTTTCATATTTTTACGTTTTCACGTTGACATTATGTACACTATATAAAGATGCAATAAATTTTAAAATTAAGGTTGATTTTGTTGTGACCATTTAAACTTAAGTGTACTTTATGATTATATCAAACATTTATATTGATTCATTATAATTTTTATGTGTATAAATATTAATGTCTAAAAATAGACATAAAAGATTTTGTTTAATTCTTTTTGATTTTTTTCTTACTGTGATAACGAATCCGCATAAAACTGTATGCAGGGAAATTTTCGCCCCTGTTTTATTTTCGCCCCTTTCGCCCTTACCTTGCATGATTGGGCGAATTTAAAACGGAGCAAATTTTAAAAAAATACAGTATATTTTCTTAAAGAAAACTGTGATTGGGCGAATTTAAGAGGGCGCAAACTTGTTTGCAAGGGCGAAAATAAAGCGGAGCGAAAATAACCCTGTATACAGTACACACACACACACACACACATACCGGTTTATATTACATAAAGAGGTATAGATTTCCATTAAAACATTCAGAGGTATATGCTTTATACTAAGTTTACCGGAAAATGTCATAGCAGTTTATGTTCACTTCGCACTTGAGATTTCATTCACCATCCATTTTTTACAAATTCCTTACTAGTTGC